CTTCATCTTGGTGGCTCTTTCCTATGATGAGTATGTAATGCCCTTCTTGATCTCTTTTTATTGATTTTAGTTTGACGTCTATTGTGCTGGATATCAGGGTGGTTACACCTGCTTGTTTCTTAAGACTGTTTGATTGGAAAGTCTTTTCCCAGCCTTTTATTCTCAGGTAGTGTCTATCTTTGAATTTGAGATGTGTTTCTTGTATGCAGCAGAAAGATGGGTCCTGCTTTCGTACCCATTCTGTAAGCCTCTGTCTTTTTATAGGTGAATTAAGTCCATTGTTATTAAGGGATATTAATGACCAGTGTTTGTTCATTCCTGGTATTTTTGGTGGTAGTGTGTGTGTACTTCTCCTCTTTGGGGTTTACGGCTGTGGTTTTATCTATTGCCTGTGTTTTTGAGGGTATATCTGACTTCCTTAGGTTGGAATTTTCCTACTAGTGTTTTCTGTAGGGCTGGGTTTGTGGATAACTATTGTTTAAATCTGGCTTTATCTTGGAATGTCTTGTTCACTCCGTCTATGATGATTGAAAGTTTTGCTGGGTATATTAGTCTAGGCTGGCATCCATGGTCTCTTACTGTCTGCATTACATCTGTCCAGGTCCTTCAGGCTTTCAGAGTCTCCATTGAGAAATCAGGTGTTATTCTGATGGGTTTGCCTTTATAAGTCACTTGGCCTTTTTCCTTTCCTGCTCTTAATATTCTTTCTTTATTCTGTGCATTTAGTTGTTTAATTATTATGTGGCCAGGGGACTTTTTGGGGGGGTCTAGTCTGTTTGTTGTTCTATAGGCTTCTTGTATCTTCATAGGCATTTCCTTCTTTAAGTTGGGAAAGTTTTCTTCTATGATCTTGTTGAATATATTTTCTGTGCCTTTGAGTTGGTATTCTTCTCCTTCTATCCCTATTATTCGTAGGTTTGGTCTTTTCCTGGTGTCCCGAATTTCTTGTACATTCTGGGTCTTGACTTTGTTGGCTTTAGTGTTTTCTTTGACTGATGAATCTATTTCTTCTACTGTATCTTCAATGCCAGAGATCCTCTCTTCCATCTCTTGCATTCTGTTGGTTGTACTTGCATCTGAAGTTCCCAATCGTTTACTCAGATTTTCTATTTCCAACATTCCCTCTGTTTGTGTCTTCTTCATTTTTTCTATTTCCCTTTTCAGGTCTAGGACTGTTCTTTCATTTGTTTCATTGCTTTTTCATGATTTTCTTTCAGTGCTTTATTGTTTTCTTCCAGAACTTTATTGTTTTCTTCTACTTTATTTGTCCTTTTCACTAGTTTTTTATAGCATTCTTCCCATTTTTTGTCTTTTCCTCTTTATAAGCCTCTACCTTCTTCATGATGTTATTCATAAGGCTGTTTTCTTCTGCTTCTTCCAATTTTTGATGTTCAGATCTAGATGTTGGAGGAGGGCTAGGTTCTGGTGATGCTGTATTGCTCTTCATTTTGTTGTATGTACTTCTGCCTTGATGTCTGCCCATCTCCTTGTGGTTCATTCTTGGTCTTATCAGCGCACTTGGTTCAGACAGAGCTGACAGAATCAGCAAGTCTCTCTCTCTCTTGTCCAGCTGGGAACTCTCTTGTCCAAATGGGAACTCTGGGGCAGGATGGGAACTCTTGTCCAGGCGGGAATTCCAGGGCAGGATGGGAGCTCTTGTCCAGAAGGGAAGTCCAGGGCAGGATGGGAGCTCTTGTCCAGAAGGGAAGTCCAGGGCAGGATGGGAGCTCTTGTCCAGAAGGGATGTCCAGGGCAGGATGGGAGCTGGGGGCCAGTCTCTAAGTCTCAGCAAGTGGCTGGGGTCTCAGGCAGATGGGCGTGGGGGAAAGGCGTGGAGATTGCAGGGTCTGCCGAGGAGAAGGGGAACCTTCCCGGTAGGGCTAGAAGGGAACCTGACTGGTGACCAGAGCCTGGGGCCAAGTTGGGCAGGTCTTCCCTGGAGTGGCTGGTGCCCAGGGAAGGGGTCTAGGCTGAGCTGGGACACTTACCTCTGGTCCACAAGGGAAGTCCAGGGCAGGATGAAAGAGACTTGTTTCTTTTTAATGACAGACTGAGGGAGAGTCACAGAGTTGCCTGTGCAAAGTGCACACACACACATACACACACACATAAACACACACAGAGAGAGACCTGTACTTCCGGTGCTGTCATAAGGGGGCAGGGATATATAAAATGTATTCTCCACAGATCTCAGACATTCACCATGGAATAATGTAGGCTGGTTCAAAAAACATGGATTTTATGTCTATTGGTTTTCCTTCAAACATAAAAGATACTTATATCACTCCCCTCACCTCAGGGACTCATTACTTTTGTCTGGCTCTTTTACTTTACTCATCAAGAGATTTGCATATTGTTCTCTGAGCCTTCTTTGCAAGTGTGAAATAAAAGCTCACCTGCATACAACCTTGCTTTAACTGGTCTGGAATCCTTAGTTCAGCTTCTCAAGTGAGATTCTCTACTCAGTTCCTGGGGCTGCTGATGCTTTGGATTCCTAACAAGGATGTAGAAAAGAAATAAAGTGAATGGGGATGCATGGTGATCTGTGGGATGCTGTTGCCATCCATGTGTGTTCAGTTCACATATAACAAATGCTGGACCTATGATGTTTGTACCTGTGATTTTGAGAGAGATTTGAGAAGAAGGACCTGTGCTCTGATGAAGATTGCCACATAGAAAGAGTGGACTGTTATGAGCAAATCCTAGAACATTGTTTACAAATCTTGGCTCTTTCTAAAAACTATTTTTAGTACATAAGTCACAGTAAATGTTAAATTATTCAATAGATGACTGTATTGTATATGACAATGATTTTCTCTCCCAGGTGAACATCTTTCCTTCTCATTTAAGACCTACTGAAGATTGTGAGATGACCCAAACTACACTCTCTCAGTCCATCTTTGGAGAGCCAGTCTCCATCCCCTCAGCTCTAGTCAGCACCTCCAATACAGTGATGGAACCACTAATTATCTTAGCTTCTACATAAACCAGTCCAGTCTTTACAGTTTCTGAATTATGAGGCTTCCAGCTAAGGTCCCTGACTTGTTCAGTGGCACTGGGCTAGGGATAAATATGAGTGGGGTGGTGCCTGAGTATGTGGGAGTTTATTACCGCATTCAAAGTTTAGGGAGTCTCTATACAGAGTGGCTTCCATGAACAAAATCTGTTCTGCCTAAGCAGACCCAGCATCCACTCATGCTCATCTCTCAGGAGAGCCTCTCAGGAAGTGCTAGAGAGGCCCACAGATTCACTGAATCTATGTGAGAGAATTACATTGGAGAACTCAAAGCAGCCAGTCGGAGCTGAGGACTCTTTAACACTTCTTCAAACGCGCACTTAAGATAAACACATTAATCCACATCTAGTATCCTCCTATGAGTGAGTACATACCATGTTTGTCTTGCTAAGTCTGGGTTACCTCACTCAGGATGATTTTTTCTAGATTCTTCCATTTGCTTGCAAATTTCATGATGTCATTGTTTTTCTCTGCTGAGTAGTATTCCATTGTGTATATGTACCACATTTTGTTTATCCATTCTTCAGTTGAAGGGCATCTAGGTTGTTTCCAGGTTCTGGCTATTACAAACAATGCTGACATGAAGGTAGCTGAACAAGTGCTCTTATGGTATGATTGGGCATTCCTTGGGTATATGCCCAAGAGTGGTATAGCTGGATCTTGGGGGAGATGGATTCCCAATTTTCTAAGAAAGCACCATATTGATTTCCAAAGTGGTTGTACAAACTTGCATTCCCACCAGCAGTGGAAGAGAGCTCCCCTAGGTCTACATCCTCTCCAGGATAAGGTGTCTTCAGTATTTTTGATCTCAGCCATTCTGACAGGCGTGAGTTGGTATCTCAGAGTTGTTTTGATTTGCATTTCCCTGATAATTAGGGATGTTGAGCAATTCCTTAAATGTCTTTCAGCCATTTGAGTTTCCTCTGTTGAGAATTCTCTGTTTAGTTCTACAGCCCATTTCTTAATAGAATAGGAGACCATGGGAAGTGAAGATCACATGAGAATAGGAAGAAGCAAAGTGCTAGAGAGGCCCACAGAAATCCACAAAGATACCCCCACAACAGACTGCTGGCAATGGTCGAGAGACAGCCCTAACTGACCTATTCTGGTGATGGGATGGCCAAACACCCTAAGTGTCATGCTAGAAACCTCATCCAATGACTGAGGGATCTGGATGCAGAGATCCATGGCTAGGCCCTGGGTGGAGCTCTGGGAGTCCAATTAGCGAGAAAGAGGAGGGTTTATATGAGCGAGAATTGTTGAGACCAAGGTTGGATAAAGCACAGGGACTAATAGCCAAATTAATGGAAACACATGAACTATGAACCAATGACTGAGGGGTCCCCAATGGGATCAGGGCCTCTGAATGGGTGAGACATTTGATTGGCTTGATCTGTTTGGGAGGCATCCAGGCAGTGGGACTGGGTCCTGTGCTCAGTGCATGAGTTGGCTGTTTGAAACCTGGGGCCTATGCAAGGTCGCTTGGCTCAGCCTGGGAGGAGGGGACTGGACCTGCCTGGACTGAGTCTACCAGGTTGATCTCAGTCCTCAGGGGAGGCTTTGCCCTGGAGGAGGTGGGAATGGGGGATGGGCTGGGGGGAAGGTGAGGGGGGCTGGAGGGGGGAGAACAAGGGAATCCATGGCTGATATGTTGAACTGAATTGTATTGCAAAATAAAAAAATAAATAAAAATTAAATTTAAAAAAATTTAAACAAAAAAAAAATAACATAAATAGATAAACCCATTAGTGATCCATCACCTTTAACCACTGTGGATGACATACTAGCAGAGAAACAGAGACAATAGGAGTGCCTTCTTTATCTATTTTTAATTTTCATGTCTTTGGATTTTTTGGCTGCATGCATGTCTGTGCATGACCTGTTTACCTGGTGCCTACAGAAGCCAGAAGAGGGACTCAAAGCTTCTAGAATTTAAGTTACAGATTACTATGAACTGCCACCATGTGGGTACTGGGATTTAAATCTAGACCCTCTGAAAGAACAGCCTGTGGGTTCTCGTAGTCAATATGAATCTCTTCAGACCCACAAATGCCTTCTGAGTAAAGAGAAATGACTTCAAAGAAGAAATGAAAAATTCCCTTAAAGAAAAGGAGGAAAAGACAAACAAAAAAATGGAAGAATCAATAAATACCTTAAAGAAAGCCAAGAAAACAAAGGGGAAAAACAATCAAAGAGGTGAAAGAAACAGTTCAAGTCATGAAAATTGAAATGGAAGCAATAAAGAAGACATAAACAGAGGGAATGCTAGAAATAGCAAATCTGACTAAACAAACAGGAACTACAGATGCTACCATAATCAAGAGAATAAAAGAGATGAAAGAGAGAGTCTCTGGTGTGGAGGATACAATAGAGGAAACAGATTAATCAATCAAAGAAAACACTAAAGCAAAAAAAGTCATAACACAAAATATCCAGGAAATCTGGGGCACCATGAAAAGACCAAACCTAAAAATAATAGGGACAGAAGAAGGAGAAGAATTCCAACTCAAAGGCACAAAACAAAAACATATTCAATAAAATCATAGAAGAAAACATTCCCAACCTAAAGAAGGCTATGTCTATGAAGATACAAGAAGCTTACAGAACACCAAATAGACTGGATCCAAAAAATGTCCCCTGGCACATAATAATCAAACCACTAAACATACAGAATAAAGAAAAAATATTAAGAGCAGCAAAGGAAAAAGGCCAAGTGACTTATAATGGCAGACCCATCAGAATAACATCTGACTTCTCAATGGAGACTCTGAAAGCACAAAGGTCCTAGACAGATGTAGTGCATACACTAAGAGACCACAGATGCTAGCCTAGACTATTATACCAAGCAAAACTTTCAATCACTGTAGATGGAGTACACAAAATATTCCAAGACAAAACCAGAGTTAAACAATACCTATTCACAAATGCAGCCCTACAGAAAGCACAAGAAGGAAAACTGCAACCTAAGGAAGTTAGATGTACCCATACAAACACAGACAATAGATAAACCCAGACCATCAAATCCCAAAGAAGGGAAATACACACATACTATTATGAATATATAACAGGAATTAACAGTCACTGGTCATTAATATCCATTAATATCAAAGGACTCAATTTGCATATAAAAAGACACAGGATAACGGAATGGATAAGAAAACAGGATCCATCCTTCTGCTGCATACAAGAAACATACCTCAACTTCAAAGACAGACATTATCTCAGAGTAAATGGTTGGGAAAAGACTTTCCAATCAAGTGGACCTAAGAAGCAAGCTGGTGTAGCTATTCTAATACCTAGCAAAATAGACTTCAAACTAAAATTAATCAAAAGATATCAAGAAGGACATTAAACATTCATCACAGGAAAAAATCCATCAAGATGAAGTCTCAGTTCTGAACATCTATGCCCCAAACACAAGGGCAACCACACACATAAAAGAAATATTACTAAAGCTAAAATTATATATCAAGGCCCACACACCAATGGTGGGAAACATCAACAATGAACTCTCACCAATGGACATGTCTGCCAGACAGAAACTTGACAGAGAAATGAGGGAACTAAAAGATGTTATTACTCAAATGGATTTAACAGACATCTATAAAACACTTCACCCAATACAAAAGATTATACCTTCTTCTCAGCACAACATGGAACCTTCTCTAAAACTGACAACATACTGAATCACAAAGCAAATCTCAACAGATACAAAAAAATTGGAATAACCCCCTGTATCTTATCAGACCACCATGACTTAAAGTTAGAATTCAACAACACAAGTTACAGAAAGCCTACAAATTCATGGAAACTGAATAATGCGCAACTCTTTCACCAATGGACCAAGGAAGAAATAAAGAAAGAAATTAAAGACTTCCCAGAATTCAATGAAAATGAATGCACAACACACCCAAATGTATGGGAAACTATGAAAGCAGTGCTAAACGGAAAACTGATAACACTAAATGCAGACATAAAGAAGTTGTAAAAATCTTACACTAGTTACTTAACAGCACAACTGAAGCACTCCTGAAAGCTCTAGAACAAAAAGAAGCAAAATCATCCTGGAGGAATAGATGCCAGGCAATATTCAAACTGAGGGCTGAAATCAATAAAATAGAAACAAAGAGAAAACACAAAGAATCAATGAAACGAAGAGTTGGTTCTTCAAGAAAATCAACAAGATAGACAAGTCCTTATCCAAACTAACCAAAAGGCAGAGATATCATCCAAATTAACAAAATCAGAAATGAAAAGGGAGACATAAACAGACAATGAGGAAATCCAGAGAATAATCAGGTCATACTTCAAAACCTATACTTCATAAAATTGTAAAATCTAAAAGAAATGGACAATTTATTGGATAGGTACCACATATCAAAATTAAATCAAGAACAGATAAACAATATAAATAAAGATTTAACTCCTAAGGAAATAGAAATAGTCATTAAAAGACTCCCAACCAAAACCAGCCCAGGATCAGATGAAATCAGGTCAGAGTTCTACCAGAATTCAAAGAAAAGTTAATACAAATACTCCTGAAATTGTTCCACACAACAGAAACAGAACGAACACTGGCAAATTCTTTTTATGAGACTACAGTTACCCTGATACTCAAACCACACAAATATGCAACTAGGAAAGAGAATTACAGAATATTCTCCCTCATGAACATTAATGCAAAAATACTCAATAAAATACTGGCAAACTGAATCCAAGAACACATCAAAAGCCTTCTCCACCAAGACCAAGTAGGCTTCATCCCAGAGATGTAAGGATGGTTCAACATATGAAAATCTGTCAATGTAATCCACCATATAAACAAACTGAAGGAAAAAAACGCATTATCATCTCATTAGATGCTGAAAAAGCCTTTGAAAAAACCCAACATCCCTTCATTATAAAGGTGAGATCAGGAATACAAGAAACATATTTAAACATAATAAAGACAATTTACAGCAAGCCAATGGCCAACAACAAATTAAATGGAGAGAAACTCAAAGCAATTCCACTAAAATGGGGAACAGGATAAGGCTGTCCATTCTCCTCATATCTATTTAATATAGTACTTGGGGTTCTAGCTAGAGCAATAAGACAAGAAGAGGAGATCAAAGGTATACAAATAGGAAAGGAAGAAGACAAACTTTTGCTATTTACAGATGACATGATAGTATCATCAAGTGACCCCAAATATTATACCAGGGAACATCTATACCTGATAAACACCTTCAGTAAAATGGCAAGATACAAGATTACCTCAAAAAAATCAGAAGCTGTCCTATATGCAAATGATAAATAGGCCAAGAATGAAATCATAGAAACATTACCCTTTACAATAGCCACAAACAATATAAAATACCTTGAGTTAACTCTAACTAAGCAAATGAAAGACTTGTATGACAAGAACTTTAAGTCTTTGTTAAGAAAGAAATTGAAGAAGATATCAGAAAATGGAAAGATCTCCCATGTTCATGGATAGGCAAATTTAACATGGCAATTTTAACAAAATCAATCTACAGATTCAATAAAATCCCCATCAAAATTCCGACACACTTCTTCACAGACCCGGAAAGAACAATACTCAACACCATATGGGAAAAAAAGATAGCTAAAACAATTATTCAATAAAGCAACTTCTGGAGGCATTACCATCCCTGACCTTAAGCTCTATTATAGAGCTATAGTAATTAAAAAAAACAAGCTTGGTATTGACATAAAAACCTGATAATTGGACCAATGGAATAAAATTGAAAACCCTGACATTAACCCACACACCTGATTTTTGACAAAGAAAAAACTGCATAATGAAAAAAAGAAAGCATCTTCAACAAATAGTGCTGGCATTACTGGATGTCAACATGTAGAAGATTGCAAATAGATCCATATTTATCCCCATGCACAAAACTTAAGTCCAAGTGAATCAAAGACCTCAGCATATATCCAGTTATAATGATCCTGATAGAAGAGAAAAGAGAAAGTATAGCCTTTAATGCATTGGCACAGGAGACCAATTCAAAAATATAACATAAGTAGCACAGACACTGAGAGCAACGATTAATAAATGGAACCTCCTGAAACTGAGAAGGTTCTGTAAGGCAAAGGACACAATAAACAAGACAAAATGAGAGCCTACAGAATGGGAAAAGATCTTCACCAACCCACATCTGACAGAATGCTGATCTCCAAAATGTATAAAGAACTCAAGAAACTAGAAATCAAAATAATAAACAATCTAATTAAAAAATGGGCTACAGAGCTGAACAGCGAATTCCCAACAGAAGAACCTCAAATGGCCAAAAAAAATTTAAGGAATTGCTCAACATCCTTAGTTATCAAAGATATGCAAATGAAAACAATTCTGAGATACCATCTTACAGCAGTCAGAACGGCTAAGATAAAAAGCCCTGGAAACAGCTTATGTTGGAAAGGATTTGGAGGAAGGGGAACACTCCCCCACTGTTGGTTGGAGTGCAAACTTGTACAGCCACTTTGGAAATCAGTATGGCGGTTTCTCAGAAAATTGGGAATCAATCTTCCTCAAGACCCAGCTATACCACTCTTGGGCATATACCCAAAGATATGATGGTAGAACTACCTCAGAATAATAATCCTTGAGAAACAATAAACATGTTGAGTAAAAATAGAAAACAGCAAAGTGAAAGAAATTAAATTGGAATAAAGGACAAAGGACAGAAGAGAAAAAGAGGGGATGGAAGAAAGGAAGGAAAATGGGAGGGAGGAGGAGAAAGAGAAGTAGAGGGAAGGGAAAGAGAAAAGGAAAATCTAAAAATGAGAAGAGAGCAGAAATAACACAGGGGGTGAATAAAGGGAAGGGTAAAGAAGGAAAATCAGAAGGCAAAAGTAAAAAAATTTGGTCCAATTATTTACCGCACTGGACCAAAATTGACAAGCACTGAAACTCCTTCTTTCCTAAGACTTTGAAAAGTTAATGCAAACTACTGAGCTGAAGTTTCTACACTGGGCATTGACCAAGGAGGCAAAGATAGGTTCAGAGTTCATTCCATGGTTTTATTTGTCATCCTTTTAATATCATTGCAAATGTAAACCAAATAGAAACTTGGCACTACCCTTCCAAATGTTAGAGACTGAAAAGAATGGTACAAAAAATAGAAAATGTAAAGAAGAATGAACAAGCAATATTTCCTCAGGAAGTCATGTTATAATCCAACACTGAAGCCCAACACTGACAAATTTTTCACTTTTTCTAAAAGTTCATATCCTAGAGCTCAGGTACTAAATTGGTGGTCATGTAACTGAATTTGTAGACCATAAAACATTGCCTACAACAAAATACTATGAAAGCATGTCAACCAAGAAGAATGATTTTGAGATGTTTCTGGCAGTCCAGACCCCTGTTACATAACTGAACTTCACTGAAGCCTTGAATCTGAACACAAAACATGAAAATTTTCACTATGCACGTCAACATATCATGTGACACTGCAATTGAGACACTGGCTCAGATTTCAGACTGCTGCATGTTGTATTAGGCATTGCAGTCATTTTGCTGAACATACAAGTCTTTCTGCCCTGATAAAAACAGTAATTTAGTCACCTACCATTATTTCTAACCATGAAAGTATCAATTTTATACATCTTTGGGTTCTATGGTGTTAAAATGTCTAACTCTACCTGTTGCTGTGTAAGTTGATGACTTGACTTACATGTTGCTTAAATGGTTTAGCTTGAGATTAGGAAAGAATTTCAAAAAAAAATTCCTGAAATGCCCCTAAGCATACTTCTGCTACTTTCTCTAATGTATTCATGTGAAGTGGGAATCTTAGCACTGATGATTATAAAATCAAAATATCTACTGACTCTGAAATATTTTGAAGTTGTGTTACATAGTATGAAATCAAATATTCAGACAAGATCAATTTCATTTGTAAAATTAAGCAAGCATACCCATGTCACTAACACCCATATTTCATTTTATCACTAATAAAAAATATTATAGTGTAACAAAATTGTTTTAAAACAAATTTTCTCATAATTTGTTATCAATTAATGTTTATTGACTATACCTATGTTATAAACCTATATGCCTGATGTTGCATTAAAGTTTCACAGGTGATATTGCCCCATGCAACTACAGACAAAGGTCCCAGAGGTCTCTGTACTGGATTTGACTTTAGGCCTCCTCCATGAGGAAAATATTTCATGATAACCAGAAGATACCATACAAACGTCCAAAGGAGAGAAGCAACCAATAGTCCCACCCAGCTATGACACCTGTGAACCCCAAGGAGCAGCACTGTACAATAACCCTAAGAGGGCATGAACAGTATATATACCTAGATGGTAACCAAGAGGTTTCTAATTGGACTTGAAGAACTACTCAACAAGAGGGAAATCATGTCTGGTACCAGAAGCCTCACCAACTACCCAAACTGAGTAAAGTCATAGAATAGCAAGCAGAGAAGATGCAGAGAAAAATAAGATAGGCATGCTAAACTGAGGAAAGATACCAAGTCACATGGCAAGGAATAGATAAGAAATATCGATTATTTTAAATTTAAGAGTTAGCTAGTAACAAGCCTGACCTATTGGACAAATATTTATCATTAATATTGAATTTCCATGTCGAATATTTGGGAAGTGGTGGATGGGAAAGAAGAGTCTGCCTAAAAAGCACCAAAGGCAATGGGAACTAGCAGGAAAGCAAGGACTTGAACAAGGTACAATCTGTGGCTCAACAATGTAGAAGAAGGTTGAGGAAGATGAAGACTGTGTCTGAGGGAATGCATCACGACAAACATAGGTATTAGAAACTCAATCCTCAAATTCAGATCAAAGTATCTGATAGTATTTTGTTTGGGAGGTAGACAGGATTATATGAAGTCGTAAAGGAAAAAGTGCCATAACGGCACTATTAGCTTTATAATTAGAGGCAAAAAGAGCAGATCTGGCACACTGTTGATCTCAGCACGTGATGTCTTCCACTACGTTATGAAACACCAAGGAAGCCCTCAGGAGATGTGGTCCAATCATGGCAACATGCTCATAGGATTCCTCAAGCCCGGTGTGGTGATATTTCATTTGCGCTGAAATGTGGTGAAAATTTAATTGTACTGAAATGTGGTGATATTTTATTTGTGCTTTAATAAATAAAGCTTGCCTGGAGCCCAGAGGAAAAAGCCAACCACAACCCAGAAGTTATGCAATGTTAGCACATGCCCTTAATCCCATCACGTGTCAGGCAGAGATCTGTCTGAATCCCTGTAAATTCAAAGCCACACAGAGCCAGGGGTGGGGGCACCCACCTTAATTCCAACACTAGTTGACCATAAAGTTCGGGAGCTCTATACAGACAGAAAGAAAGTGACAGAGCTGTGTAGGAAGAGGGAGTGATTTAGCAGGGCTAAGAGAGCCAATGAGAGAACAGAACAGAAAAGGCATATAAACATGAATATACAGGAAAAAGCTCTCTTTGGAAGCTGTAGAGTTGGTGAGATGAGGTTAGCTCATAGCTTTCTGTATTTTTCCCTGATCTCTCTAAGAGTTTCACCCCTATATATTTAGCTATATATTAGTGTTTTTGTATTTAATAAGGCCATTAGAAATTTGTCTACAGCCCAGAGCTATAATAAATAGATGTATTTTCTGTGTTAGGTTCCTGGTTTCTGGTATTCAATTATGGCAACAGTAAACAAATCAAAGCTGAATAGAAGTAACAGATAAATGTCAAAGAAAAGTAAGATGTGAGAACTCACAGAGTAGGTGTTGAAGGCTGGGTAGTACTGCACTCCATGTATTTGCTGGCTGCCATCTTTGCAGAAAGAATGGTGCAAATATCCTCACTGGCCTTGGAAAAAGATTCTCTGAATGCCAAAATGAAGGTGCAGCCCTGAGAGCACCTTGACTGTAGCCTCTAAGACCCTCCATAGAGGACCCAGATATTTCCTGCCTAGGTTATAGGTGTTGTGGTTGTAAATCCATGATCCAATACTAATTCCCTACTGTAATCTAGGACTGTAACCTTGAAAAACTCAGAGATGTGCATCTTGGAGAAGGTGCTAGGGATCATTCTGTTGAGCTTTCATGCTCCACACTGGGAGGATGCAGAGACACAAAAAAGGCTCATGTAGAAGTAGAGGATGACTGGGAAGAAAACCTTCCATGATCATGGCTGTGCACCCTTGGCTGTGCGCCAGCAATGGTAGAACAATTGCAAAAGGAAAAAAAGCTGGACATGGTGTCATGTAATCCAGCAGTCAGAAGGAAGAGGTAGGTTGGCTACAAGTTTAGGGTCACTGGGGTCTAGATAGTGATTTCCAGGTGAGCCTCAACTATATAGTGAGACTTCGTACTCCTCAAAGTAAGAAGACAGCAAAAAGTAAAAGAAGGCAAGAAGAGAATGTGGCTATGTTGTGGAAGTTATTATAGAGAAAGATGTGGGTATTGGATGAGGAGAAAAGAACAGCAAATGAGTATAACACTGTGGATGAGCATCTGTGATGGACACAGAGATGCAGATAAGAAGCTGAGCAATAAATTAGCCAGAAAAGGCTTGTATGTGATCCTCTGAAGAAAGACTTGAGAAATTTTAAGCAAATAAAAGAGGGAATATAACATTAGGTTGAAAATGTAAGCTTGTGTCTGCAAGACAACAATCTTCAAAGTTCAAGCTCTGATTATTTTGGGCAACTGGGGAAAGTTTCCTGTAAGTTTAATATGATTGATTATTCAGTATATTGAACACAAAAAAAAACCAACAAATTTTATTGAAATTGCCCATTGAAAATAGTATCAAGGAGGTCTTTATTATGTAAGCAAACAGATGAATTATAAAGTATAAATGGTGGGACAAACACACATACTATTATTTTAAACATCTGTTCCAGAATTTCACTGTTTTTACAAACAAGATTTCTAAAATTACACGGTTGACATGCCTGGGGAAAAACACAGCTCAGACACTGAACTTCAGTCAGCAGCCACACCAGGAGTTTTTTGTTTAGCCCTGCAGCACTGTGGGAGGAAGCTCTCTAGTCTGCTGACAGTAATAGGTTGCAGCATCATCAGCCTCCACAGGATTGATGGTGAGGGTGAAGTCTGTCCCAGACCCACTGCCACTGAACCTGGCAGGGACCCCAGATTCTAGGTTGGATGCTGCATAGATGAGGAGTTTGGGGGGCTGTCCTGGTTTCTGTTGATACCAGTGAAGATAATGAATAATACTACCTATAGTGACACTCTGGCTGGACCTACAAGACACGGTGGCCCTTTGCCCTAGAGACACAGTCAGTGAAGGCAGAGACTGGGTCAGCACAATGTCTGCAGTAGAACCTGGAATGATAAACACACAATGCTGTCACAGAAATACTGCAAATACCCATGAAAAAAACATATGTATGTGGAATGTGTAACAGCAATCAAGAGATATACCCTGAGAAAAATAAAATAAAAAGGAAGATCAAAACCAATTAAATTTCAATGATCAGGAAAGACACCAAGGCATACAAAACAATGATGGCCACAGAAGATGCTCCTATCACTGCAAACTCTCACCTGGAACCCAGAGCAGCAGTACCCATAGCAGGAGAGAAGCTGACCCCATCTTTGTGAGCTGGACTAGAGGCTGCTTCTTGGGTATAGGCAAGCTGCCTTTAAAGATGCTTTGAGCAATCTGCACTGTGGCTAAAGTCTCAATATGCAAATCAGCTCAGAAAAGCCTGACTTTTTGCTCACAGGACACCTGCTCTTATGTCACCCTATGGTAGTTAGGATTAACAAAAATTTCACTAGGGTATTGTAAGTGTATACCAAGTGTTTTTGTGGCTGGCACTGTGCAGACATGTTCTGTTATTTTGGTTATTCTGGGGAGTGCACTATCACTGCTCTGCTGTAGAGGATATTATACGTAAGAGCACTTTTATCCTTCAGAATTGTTTTAAATCATTTTATTGATTCTTTGTGGGTTTCACATCATGCCTACCAATCCTATCCATCTCCCCATTCCCTTGCTTCCTCCTTCTGTCCTTACAGCCTCCCCCAAAATAAAATTTAAAAGTTAAACCCAAGACTCAAAAAATCAAAAAGAAAAAAGGGAAAAAGAAAAAGACAAGACAAAAACCTTGGCATGGAAACTGTAGTGTGGCCCGATGAGTCACACAGTATATACTTTAGTCCATATATCTTTACTTGTAAGTATTTATTGCAAAGAGTCATTGGTCTGGTTGAATTCCTGAAGAGGGCAATGGATCCACTAGAACACAGTTACAGATGGCTGTGAACTGCCACATGAATGCTGGAATCTGGACCCATGTCATCTGTAAGAGCAAGAAAAACTCTTAATCACTGAGCCATCTCTCCAGCCTCAAACTGATTTTTTTAATCTCATGACAACAAAGTGTTTTGCATTGTGATACTTCTCCCAAACAGAAACTAGTTGGATATAATGAGATAAAGAAAAAAAAACAAGGTGGCTTGGTTCAGATGAGAAGAAGAAGTCGGCTCCTCTGGGAGGCTGTAATTTAAATGTCATCAGGAGCAGAAGAGGCAGTGAGCAGTGAACATGGGATGAAGAAGGAAGCAGGAAAACTAAACTTAGAACAAACAGGCCGCACTGAGGATAAGTCAAGATGATTTCCATTGAGGCCCCAGTATTGATAGTGTAGCATAAACCAAAGGTCTTAAACCAGACCAAGGACTCATTGCAATGAACACATGCAAAAGGATATACTGTCTGACGCATTGTGCCACACCAAAGCTTCCACGATGAGATTTTTCTTTTTTTCTTCTTCTTTTCTTTTAAATTTTACTTTGTGTTATCCTGTTGGGGGGAGGTTGCAAGGGCAGAGGCAGATGTGAAGGGGCTGGAGATGAATGGGATTAAGATGCATGATGTGAAATCCACAAAGAATCAATAAAAACTTCTTTAAAAGTATGGAGGGCAATAATTAACCAGCAGAATGTAGTAAACCTCCAGGAGCTGTAGTAAACAAAGGTATACCATCTTCTCAAGACATGAGAAGGTAGGTCCTGGAGTGATGACTCAGTGGTTAAGGGCACTGGCTATACTCTTCCAGAGGACACAGGATCCATTCCTGACACCCACATGGCAGTTAACTACCATCTGTAATCCAGTTCCGGGAGAACCAATGCCATCTTCTGGCATCTGAGGGTACTACATGCACAAGATGCACAGCCTACAAACGGGCAGAACACTCATATTTATAAAAATTAACTCAATTAATCAATCAATTAGGTGACTAACATCTTTACTTAAGGCAAATGAGTTCTGTTTGGAAATTCTAGATTCTAGAACTACAAAATGATGATTTCTTACACAGAGAACTTAACTGTGTTTTGCTCCAAGGTTAAGGGACACACTGTGCTAATTAATTCTCTGCAGCATTTTGTAAGTTTTCTCATCACTGTGCCAGGCACAATGGCTATTAGGCAGATGAGGGAAGTGTCCATACCTGCGTGTAGTTCAGGAAGCTGGTGAGACTCAGAGAGGAGTTTTGGGTTGGAGCCTGAAACACTATGGGAGGAGAGCAGTAATGCTGTATGCAGTAATACTCTGCCAGGTTTTCAGCCTGGACGCTGCTGAGGGCAAGAGTGAAATCTGTCCCAGATCAACATTCTATGAAGCCATCAGGGACCCCAGAGTTCCCAGTGGATACCCAGTAGATCCACACTTTAGGAACCTGCCCTGATTTCTGCTGATAAACAAGCAAAGGGGTTCTTCTGGATATAGCTGCCAAACAGACTCTGGCTGGACTTATCATTAATGGAAGCCTCTCTCTCCTGCTGACACACAGCCATGGAGGATAGAGACTGGGTCATCATGATGCCCCCTTAGGCATCTGCAATTGATAAGAGAAAACTGTCATGCATTCACATTCAAGGACTTTGTAACACAAACATTGATATTAAAAATATCTTTTCTAAGCAAGTGTAGTGTCACACACCTTTAATCCCTGCACATGGAGGCAGAGGCAGGAGGATTTCTGTGAGATTGAGGGCAGTCTGGTTAACAAAGTGAGTTCTAGAATAGTTTTTTCTCCCAGTTATTGTATGCTTGCATGACCTTTCTCAGCAAAAGCGTCACTCTAAAAAGATTATAATAATTTTAAATTTGTTACCAGACACTCAGAGCAGCAGGGACATGAGTACCTGGGTCGCTGATTCCATCTTGTTACCCATGCTTGTCTGATGCGGCTCAATTCTCAATGGAAAAGCCTGTTTTATATAACCTGAGCAGCTGGAATATCCTGTAGGAGCCCATGCAAAGTGGTCAGCAAATGAGGAAGCAAACAGCATGGCAGTCTGTGTGAGAGAGACTGAAGAAATCAACAGCCAATAATATCAGAGGGAACAAGCAATCACTAGGGTGGAAATCAACATAGAAGCTAATTGTCCAACTAAGAGCTCTCCACCCACAAACATCTAGAGGCTCTAATGACAGGCTTCCATTCACAGTCAATGACATGTTTATATCAGTTCACAGACCTGATGGTAGAGCTAACTCAGAATAGCAATCCCTGGGAAATAATTAACATGAATTATTTCTGTTAACAGAAAACAACAAAGGGGAAGTGGAGGAAAAGGAAGTGAAAATGAATGAAGGCTGAAGGACAAAAAGAAGAAAGGGAAGAGAAGGAGGAAAGACAGAAGAAAGGAGGAAGGGAAAGAGCAGGAGAGAGGAGGAAAAGAAAGAAGGGAAATTCAGTGATGGGAAGGGAGGAGAAAGGAGAAGAGGGGAATAAAGAAAAGGGAGAAGTAAAAAATGAAAATCAGAAGGAAAGGTGACAAATTTTGGACCAATTTTGTGTAACACTGACCCAAAATTTCCCAGCTCCAAAACCATTTACATTCTGCTGTGAACGGAGAACACTAAACACTCCAGAGCTACAGTTTCCAAGCTGAGCATACACCAGAGAGCAAAGACAGGCCCAGAGTTCACTCCATGGATATATGTGGCATCCTCATTTAATCATAGAGTTATAAGGGTTTAATGTCATTGTAAACATAAACCAAACAGAATCTTGACACTACCCTTCCAAATGCTAGAGACTGAAAATGTGCTACCAAAAATAGCAAATGGAGGGAGAGAGCGAAAAAGCAGGAATTCCACTGAAAGTTTTGTTGTAATCTAACACTGAAGCCCAACACTGACAAAGTTTGCTTTACTGGAGAAATGCATGCCCTAGACCTAAATCTATGGGTCATGTAACTGATCCCATAGGTCATCAAACATTGGCAAAAATAAAAATTCTGAATGCACATCAACCATGAGCAATTGGAAAGCTAATGTAGAATGAATTTGAGATGTTTCTGGCATTGCTTTGTGTTGTATCATAGGACTTCACTGTAGCCTTGGTCCTGAACACACAACATGCACACTTTGCATTATGCATGCCGACATGCCATGTAACACTGCAAATGAAGTCTTTTCTTGGATTTTAGACTATTATGCTATGCACAGAATTGTTCTCACCATACTTACAAGGTTTTTTGCTCTCATAAAACATAATAATTTAGTTACCAACCATTATTCCTTACCATATAAGTATCAGTTTGCTATATCTTTGGGTTGTATACCATTACAGTGCTGAACTACAGATGTTACTGTTTGAGTTCATGATTTGAGTCACATGAAAAGTGGTTAAAAGGATTTTACTTTTGGATTTGATAAAATTTCCCAAAATTCCTGAATTGCCTTTAAGCACATTTCTGTCATTTTCTGCTGGGACTCTGAGCATTGATGATTATAAATTACATTATCTATATACTTTGAAATATGTTGATACTGTACTACATAGTATGAAATCAAACATTAGAACAGATTAACTTTGTCATAATAAGCAGCGCACAACATCACTAACATGCAGATTAGCTTTAATAAACAGTAAAGTTATATAATACCAAAAGTATTTTAAAATAGATTTCCCTATGATTTATTATCAGTTAATCTTTGTCTTCTACATACCTTCTACATACCTAATATGTAACTTGTATGCCTAAGGTTGCAGTAAATATTTTATAAATGATATTGCACTTCAGACAAATGTGACAGGATTCAGAGGCCTCTGAGCTGGAACTGAATGCATTCTCCCTGAGGACTAGCATTCTCCATACTGTAAGTTTCCATGCAAGCTTCCAATAGAGGGAAGCAACCAGCAGCTCTACCCAGCTATGACACCTATGAACCACAAGGAACAATAGGTATTTTACTATATACCAAAGTGGGCAGTAGAGACATGTATACCTTGATGGTAAGCAACAGCTTTCTAATTGAATTTAAGACTTACGCAACAAGGGAGAAATCATGCCATATACCTGAAACCTAGCCAACTATCCAGGGCTAGTGAAGTCATGCATCTTGGAGGAGTCTCTAAACTCTCTATCTCACTAAACCTGCATAATCCCTGACTGCATGCTAAGTAATTTGTCCTATTACCACAGATAATGGTTGTCTTCACACCTCATCAAAGAAACCTTTCATTGCAACAGATGGAAACCATTATAGAAAGTCATTCCAATCTATATAGAGATGTGTGGAACCCAGCCCCAATAGATATATCTACAAAACAATCTCACATCTCAGAC